GCCCGTGTGTGCCTCACTCCCGGTCCCGCCCCAGCGGTGACACGCAGTGAATGACGGAGCCATACCTTGACAGTCTCGTACCAGCAGGGCTGCTTGACCTGGTAATAAACCACAGACTTGTACTCCGAGACTCCCTCGTAGCCAGCCCCGGGGTGGATGGCTTTCTTTGGACAAAACACAGGGAGGAAAAGGTAAACAGGGAGTATTTTGGGTGGTACATTTTCAAAGGGTGTCAGAGGCCGTCCTACCTCCTGCAGGTTCCCGTCCTCGTCGTGCACAGACATGGTGACCTCGACGTTCTTGGGGGTTTTCTTCTTGCCTTTGTCAAACTCCCCCTGGATCAGGGTGACGTAGATGTCATTCCGGACATCACCTGCAATGCCCAGAGTTTAATGAGCTGGTGTCTCATTCCCAGTGTGACAGCTTGAAATTCAACACCCTTGGGCACCACGTTATCCTAATTTCCTCTTAGCCTTTAATTAACAACACCCACCATCACACCATTTTCATCTCTGTCTCAAATGACACGGAATCTTCTAAAATGAACCATTTTCCTTTCTACAAACCTCTATACCTATGTTTTGTTTTGTTTGGTTTTTTTAAATTTAATGAGCTCTCTAGGGTTAAATCCACTCTGAATGGGTGGGTCAAAGCCATATGCAACAAAAATTGTTTTGACTAAAGAGACATTTTCTTCCGCAAGCTCCATAAACCATCATTTTGCCATAAGAAAGAAAACTTATGTTTTCAACTTCTTGTGACAAAAAATAAGAAAATAACCTGGAAATTTGAAGAAAAACATAAAGTTTTCACATAAAATAATTTTTTTTAAAATAAATCTTTTTGTGACAGAAATTCTAGAATTTCAGGTGGCTCTTTCACACCATGGAATGTAGAAGCACACGGGACCTACCAGGAAGGATGATCTCAGGGAAACCCATTTTTCGAGCCACTGCAGTGGATCTGTCTACAAGGTGGGAGAAATCCTTCTGAACCTGAGCCAGATCCCCAGGGAGCAGCTTCAGGGAGACCCAGAGACCTAAGAAAAGTGAGATGACACTTGCTTACTGAAAACAAAAACATACAAACCCATGAAATTTAAGCCTGTGCTTCCAAAAAAATCTCTTTTCATGACAATTCCATGTCCCCATCTGGTTCTCTCTTGCCCAGTCCTCCCTGTCCCTGAATCTGAGTAAGACTTTTCTGGGCAAGAAGATTGTCTGAAGTAAACCCCCAACTTTCAGAGATGAACTTTGAGTGTCTTTGAGCCAAGGAAGACCAGAAAAATCTGGAATAATGTGATTTAACCCCAAAGCCATTTGGGACATGTAGCCACGTCCACTTACAAATATTTCATACCCATAAAACACTTTCATTTTAAAGGTGTTAAAAATTATTGACCTTAAAAGTGTGGAAACCCAGGGCACTGGGAATA